GTCACGCTCCTTTTGATGCAGCCCAGGATACGGTTGGCTTTCTGGGCTGTGAGCACACACTGAAGCTGGCTCATGTTCATTTTCTCATCAACCAACACCCCCAAGTCCTTCTCTGCAGGGTTGCTCTGAATCTCTTCTCTTTCCAACCTGTAGCTGTGCCTGGGATTGCTCCGTCCCAAGTGTAGGACTTTGCAGCTGGCATGATTAAACTTCATGAGGTTGGCATGAGCCCACCTCACAAGTGTGTCGAGGTCCCTCTGGATGGCATTCCTTCCCTCCAGCCTATCAACCGAACCACACAGCTTGGTGTCATCGGCAAACTTGCTGAGGGCGCACTCAATCCCACTGTCCATGTCAGCGACAAAGATGTTGAACAAGACCGGTCCCAACACCGATCCCTGAGGGACACCACTCATTACTGGTCTCCAGCCGGACATTGAGCCATTGACCACAACTCTTTGCGTGCCGCCATCCAGCCAGTTCTTTATCCACCGAGTGGTCCATCCATCAAATTGATGTCTCTCCAATTTAGAGACAAGCCCCAAGTTGTGTGAGACAGTGTCGAATGCTTTGCACAAGTCCAGGTAGATGACGCCAGCTGCTCTACCCCGTCCATCAGTTCCATAGTGCCATTATAGAAGGCCACCAAATTGGTCTGGCAGGATTTCCCCTTAGTGAAGCCATGCTGGCTGTCACCAAGCACCTTGTTGTTTTTCATGTGCCTTAGCATGCCTTCCAGGAGAATCTGCTCTAAGATTTTGCCAGGCACAGAGGTGAGACTGACTGCTCTGTAATTCCCCGGGTCATCCATTTTCCCCTTCTTGAAAATGGGGGTTATATTTCCCTTTTTCCAGTCATGGGGAACTTCACCTGGCTGCCATGATTTCTCAAATATGATGGCCAGTGACTTAACAACTTCATTTGCCAGCTCCTTCAGGACCCTCGGATGGATCTCATCAGGTCCCATGGACTTGTGCATGTTCAGATTTTTAAGATAGTCTCAGACCAGATCCTCTCCTACAGCGGGCCTAAGGTCTTGATTCTCACGGTCCCTGCATCGGCCTTCCAAACAACTTTTTTGCACACAACTTCGTTAGTCCAGAGGTCAGGTGTACAAGAACTTTGAAGTTTTGAAATTAGACCCTGGCCGGGCTTCTGAAATGGTTAGAAACAAGATAGTTGGGGTAGATATTTACTTCCCCACTTTTGCCTTAAGCCATTCAGTCTGTCAGTTATTTTGTAAGTCAGGGATGAATTTCTGGTGTCGTTTTTTCCAATTTTCTCTTTCATGATTGGGATTAAAAAGCCTTCTACTCTTGTGTTGTTTTCTATTATTTGAACTCAATAACTTTCTACTTTTTGATACATGAAAATAATTGGATGATGATTGGATAAATAATGCATCTCAAAACAGTGGAGCTGAATGGATAACAGATGAAGATTACTCTGTTAGTGTAATAAGAGTGAAATACATTTTTTTCCAGCTGGGTAGGGTTCTGAGCTAATGTAATCTTTTTACCCCTTTTCTCAGGGAAAAGAAATCTTGATGTGCAGAATGAAACTGAAATAGTGACATGGAAAAATGCAGTTGCTCTTTGCATGTTTTTGGTAGCAGAAGCAAGAAGAAAATTGAGGAATAACACAAACTAACATCTTTTGGTGTTGAAGCAATTCTTAGTGCTAATGGTGTACAACAGGAGACTCCTATATGCTGTGAGACCAAAATCTAGTATGGTGATGATCAGACATAGTAAAAACAGCAAAAAGCCACCAGTACTGTTGGGCTCATATTTCACTGGGAGATGGAGTGGCTGCAACGTTTGTCTCCCAGAATAGAAGCTTAGTAAATGCAGTGAATTGTCTTGAATCTCTTGTCCGTGCTTCTCTAAGGAAATGAATAAAGACTCTGTAGAGGAATAATGCAAATAACCTATTTATTTATTTATTTATTTATTCCCACCCCCTGGAAAAAGTAGCTTAATTCTTGCCTGTATTGAAAATCAAGTAAAATAAGGTTTAGGCTTTTATCATATGCAGAGATATTTCATAGACTCCACTAGGTTGGAAATAACCTTTAAGATCATAAAGTGCAACCATTACCTCAGGACTGCAGAGACCACCATTAAACCATGTCACTGAAGGCCTCATCTGCATGGTTTTTGAATGCTTCAGGGACGGTGACTGCACCACTGCCTTGGGCAGCCTGTTCTGATGCCTGACCACCCTCTCTGTGAAGAAATTGTTCCTAATATCCAATCTAAACCTCGCCTAACGCAGCTTGGGGCCATTACCTCTTGTCCTACTGCTTGTTACTTGGGACAAGAGACCGACTATCACCTCACTACAACCTCCTTTCAGGTAGCTATAGAGAGTGATAAGGTCCCCCCTGTGCCTGCTGTTCTCCAGAGTAAACAATCCCAGTTTCCTTGGCCGTTCCTCATAAGACTTGTGCTCTAGACCCTTCACCAGCTCTGTTGCCCTTCTTTGAACCTGCTCCAGCAACTCAGTAGCTCTTGTATTGAGGTAGAAGCCTGTATATCAGTGGCAATTTAGTCTGAAAATAGTGTTTATTAACCATAATATATTAGACCTGAAAAGTTCAGCAATATGAAGATAAGAGATATTCTGCCCTGAGTGATAATGTCAGGCTTGGTAAATGCCAGAAATACAGATGGAAAGGCAAATCTGTGGAAACAGAGAGCACACCAGGCAGGGTGAGGTAGGAGAGAGAGCAAGCAGCCAGAACACCAATGGAAGAGACCTACAGAGAGGCAAAAATTGTCTCTTACGTTGGTTTGTTGTTTTTCTTTATTTTAAAAAGACAACTAATATAGAATTAAAATTCTGGATTAAGATACTACTTTCTTCCTTTGAATCTCCAGAGTAAAATTAGTATCTCTTTCTCCCTCAAATACAGAAGTCAGTTACAGAGCTTTATTCAGATGCTAGAGTTTGATACATTGGAAGTGTAAGTACATGAAAAGAGTATGTATAATTCTCACAATATATAAATTGGGGATTTTGTTTGGTGGTTTGTTTGCAGGTATTTTGACAGAACTTTCTTGCCTAGTGAAGTGCCTACATACCCATAGACGCCGCAGAAGAACGGTTGTACTTTTTTCTGATTTTAGTGAATTTTATTTGCTATTAGGATTGCTATAGAGTAGGTATATCTTAGTGGTATAAGTGAACTTACTTGCTACTCAAATGCAGCTGTTTCTGGGGATGTAGCATAGCTCTGCAAATACCCTGGAATAGTTTAGGATAAGTTCGAGAGTAACTTACTGTAGTGAGATAAGTAGAATGAATATACCAAACTGAACAAGGATACCTTAGTTTGTCCAAAGTACACTAGGTTGGAGAGTAACCATAAGGGATTCATGTACTATGTTGTCCAGAAAACTGTATCAGAGCATTATTTAGACAGTGCTTTTTATTTATGTAAAACTATTTCATTTTGTTTTATTGGGGGCCCCCAGTTTAACAAGCATTTAAAAGGTCTGATGATGCCTTCATGGTGTCCCTCTGAAGTACATCATGAACAGATAGTAATGAAATCTATCCTCTCTGTGTGAACTTTAAGAAAGAAAAAAAAAAGTAACCGGTTGGATATATTTAAGAGTGGATGTTACTTCTGTCCCAGCTCAGAAAGCATTTCCTTCAGATGGTAATAGCTTTTTCTTTTCCTGTATATTTATATAAATCTTGTTTGAAAATGTAATTTCTAATCAGCTGAGAATTGGTAGCATTTATTCCTTTTTATTGCAATCTAGCTTGTTAATTTGATAAAGAGTCTGTCAACATTTCTTTTGCATATCTTGTTCCTTTGTGTGCTTTAAAAAAACTCCTTTTACACTGTATATTATTCAGCCATTTGTGGCTTGAAACACTGCCTAAATGCCAGCTTATGTTTCCCCATTTTCAGGCCGTAGCTTTTTATGTCTGACAACTTGAGACTTGCAGCAATAACATCGAGTTCCTGCTATGCTTAGAAAAACACCACCCATTTAAAAATATCAATTGCCACCATTTTATTGCACAATGGATAGGTCTGCTTTGGGGGAGTTGCAGTATTTTGTTTGACTCGCTGGTTTTTATACATGACGTTTTTTATACATGAAGGTTTTTTATACATGAAGTTTTTATATAAATTCTAAAATGCTTTTGCCTTTCATGGCTAATCACTTTTTGGAAAAGTCAAAGTGGAATGTTTCTGGCTGACTTGCATGTGTAGGAAAGCCTTCAGAAAGTCCTTTCTGTATGTGCTCACTGTACTAATATTTAGCCAAAGTTTGCAGAGACTTCACTGCTTGGAAGTACTATCTCTTTTCTGTCACCAGTCTGATCTGTTAAATCCCAATGAGTGTGAAAAATGAGAAAGATCTTGTTTTGCTTGGCTGTTTCAACAGTATGTTGAGAATGACCAGATTGCTGGAGAAGACGAATCTCTTGGAAACCTCAACAGCTCAGCCTCCTCATCTGTAGGCACATCAAGCTCATCTGAGTGTGTAAATAAAAATAAATAATGCAGTGAAAAAATATGCAGAGTATTTTGCTGAAGTGCTTCAATTTTGGATCTGCTATAACTAATTTAAATCTTCTGTAGAGATTTATGCAGGCAAGGGGTCAGGTTTATGACATTTGTAATTTACAGCTTTCCTGCTACTACATCGTTTATACTTTATATTCTATCATGATACCTTTTTTTCTGCAGAGAAAGTCCCTTTTATACTCCCTTCCTTTCCTCCTTTGAAGAGAACATTTTCTTCTCCATTTATCTGAGGTAGTGAGACCAGAGTAGCTCTGGATTCTTTAAATGAGTCTAATTGGGCTTCTTTTAGTATATGGAGGATCTTTTTTTTTTTTGCAGAGGGCTTTCATTTCTTTGTGCAGTTGCTCTGTCGCCAGCAGTCCATATCTTACATGCTTTCTTAATTAAAAAAAAAAAAAACAAAAGAGGCAAGCAATTATCATCCCAATGGCTGTGGTCTCTATTCCAGGCTGATTCACGGAGGGCAGCTGTTGAATGGCTTGGCGGGGCCAACTGTGATGAACGCGGCGCCGTTTCTTTCCACAACGTGGTTTTCTCCGGATGAACGTGCCACAGCAACTGCCATTGCGTCGCTGCTCAATTACCTGGGTGCCGCTGGCGCGTTTCTAGTGGGACCTCTTGTGGTGCCATCCCCTAATGGAACATCTCACCTTCCACTGGCATCGCAGAGCAACGCTGAGCACATCAAGGACCGCATTGAGGCTGTGCTGTATGCAGGTGTGGTTTAGAAATCAAAATAAAATTTAAAAAAACTCTAAAAGATTTATATGCCGTTGTATGTATTTGGGACTTGTGAAGCACTACCCTCTAGTGGTTGGTTTGCACAGAAAACATTGGCTGACTGATGGGAAATAACAAAGTGGTAAAGTGTTACACAGGAATGTGTAACACTTTACACACATTCCTGTGTGTACACTTTACCACTTTGTTATTTCCCATCAGTCAGCCAATGTTTTCTGTTGTACCATCAGAAGTTTTAATTGTTTTTCCTTCTTGTGTAGGAAAGATGTTAAACTAGCTTTTTTTTTATGACTGATTCCAGAAGAAATATTTCAGTTGTCTGTATTGGCTGCTCTTAGGAGAAATGTCTTCTAGGCAATGTCTTCTTTCCCTAAGCTTTCAAACAGGTTTTTGCTTCTTGAATTTTCATTTAAAATGTGTCTATTACAGGTTGTTTTTTTTTCCTTTTGTAGCTGTAGGGATGGAAATCCATAGTCTTTCAGCATTATATTCTTTCCTGCATTAAATCAGCCTTAAATTGAGGCTCACATATGCCTTTCAAATGTGATTATATTATAAGTATTTAAAAATCTAACATTGCAATTAAAACTCAGTAGATTTTGGTTTTAACTGGAAACTCAATAGTTCTTATGTGGTGAGCAACTTCAATGAAGTGGTTAACAGTTTAGTGGAAAAAAACGGCTGATATAAAATTCGCCTGGCATAACCCAGATTACATAAATCCTTGCTCTTTTTCATGCATTGGCTTCTGTGGTTCTTTGTGTCATTTACAAAAATTAGCAGCAAAGATTTAAGGAAGCATAGTTGCTTAAGTGGCTTAAGTGTCTGTGACCTGATTCTTATTGGATATAAATTGGTATAGCATGAAGAGCAGCTGAACTTTACCATGTCATGGCAGTTGCATGTTTCTTTGGGGTTTTCCCCCCTTAGAATTGAAGCATCTGAACTGCAGCCAGGAGTTAGCCCTAAGTGTTGCAGAAGTCTTAAAGTGTATCTGCTGTGTAGTTGATATGAAGGTTTATGGGATTGAGTTAGCTGTTTGTGATCATGATTGTGATCCTGGACATTATTCTCATGGAAATTTCTGCTGGGTGTGCCACTTTAATACTCATTTTAAAGAATGTGTGAGGAGTTGGATCACTATTTCAGCAAGTATTTTTGAGTAATCTACTTTTTACTAGACTCAAATGTCTTGGAACAACAAGGAAATTTGGGGTTGGTTAGGCCTTTTTCAGAGGTAAATATGTTGGACTCCAAAAATCTCATGACAGGGAAAACCAGCCAGTGTGAAAGAAGGAAAAATGAAGGCAAGTCGGCCTTTGTCCTGAGGAGCTAAGGGGAGAAAAAATGTAGAGATTAGACACATGCATTAGCTCTCCCTCTCCAGATTTTCCATGAAGAGAGAATAATTCGTCTACTTACAGGAAGTACAGTTTTGTGCCCCAGACCACTCTTTTGAGTCTGATAGCACTAGAAATGTAGCTTTCAGCAGCCCATTAGATTGACTTTCTCTTCTCCTCTGGGAGGTTTCCTTAATCATTTTCTTCAGAAACAGGGATAGATCTTGCTTGCCACTAAGGTTCAGAGGTGTTTCTTGCCTGTCCCATGTCTCAGCATGGCTCTTTCTGAGCAGTTAGGATTTGGGAACATCCTGTAGACATACTGGGATTGTTGGTCCCAACAGAAGATGGTCGTACAGCAGCTCTTCAGCTTCCTAGGAATTGTGTTTTATGAGGCATCAGTAGTTCTTAGTATTTGAAAGTGTTTTGAACAGAGATAAATTCTTTATGCAGCTGCGTATGTGGTTGTTTCATATGGGGTATGTCTTTTCAGGAGCTACACCACCTTTAGCTGTTCAGGCAGTAAAAAAGAGCTGGTTCATGAATGTTAACTACAGTGAATTGTGGTGATGGTAGCAAAATATCCAGCTGATTTAAAATTGATAGGAACTGGTGAAGAGAAGGTTGCTTTGAATCCCTTGTGGGATTTTTCCTGTCTTTCCGGAGAGCTGAGGGAGCAAGGTCCCTGCTGTTTGCCTCCCCTATGCTCTATGCCAGGTAGGCTCCAGAAGTGGGAGGAAGGCTGGCTTTTGATGGGTGACTGCCTCATGCTGGTTGTACAGCTCTGTTCACCTGTGTTGCAGAAAACACCTGGTAGGTGTGGTAAGGTGCTGTTTGTCCCCTTAAACAGCTGGGCAGAAAGCAAAGTTCAAATTGACTTCGCAGATACTGGTAGATGTGTTACAAAATACAGGAGAAGAGGGAACTGTCCCTTTCCCCCATTTGCTCAGTTAAGTGTGGTCAGGCTTGGTGTGACTTCTCCTTTTAGATGCCATGGAAAAGCCAGTTTCACAGGATGAGCACTCTGCATTCATAACGGAATTTGTGAAGGAGCATGTTGCTTTTGTGTGAAGTAGTGTTAGATAAGCAGCCTCCAAAAGTTAGGTGATGACTTTTAAAAGACAGTAATGATGTGAATTGTTAACTGGGGATCACTAGCATACCAAGAGTGTGCAGATTTTCCAATGACTTAACCTCAAACTTGATTATGAGGCAGTTGCTTATAAACCCATTCTGAAATTGCTCTGTTAACTCCAGTCTCTTCTGTGTTTTAATAAATTGCTGTTCCTTTATCTCAAACATGGACTAAGAGCTCAGCTGAATTACCACAGCCTCTTTCTGTGGTTTCTGTGTTGCTGCACGTTCTGGTTCCCAGCTGAAATAGTACAGATGAAGAAAATCAGGATTGAATTGTATTACCTGGATCGCATAAGGAAGCTTGAATTACTCTCATCTGTAGCCAGAGCTTTTAGCCATGTGCTTCCCTAAATATCAGTGTAAAATATTATTTGTTTAAAAAAAATTCATGTGTGTGCTCTTGAGTGCCCTTGTTCCCTCTCTACATTTCAGGGCAAGATGGGGAGGAGGGTTTCTTGGTTTATGTAAGTTTTTGTGTTACAAGTAGCCTGTGTGAAGGAAAAAGACTTTGTATAAAGGAGACTTGTGTCTCTATAAAAGTGGTGTTTTCTTCTGTTTGTGGCTTCAGGGTGCCTGCTTCCTAGGCAGAGATGCAGGTGTCTCTCCAATTTGAGAGTCATGGGTTACTGTAGTGCAGTACCTACCTTTTGTGAAGTATTTCAGATTCACTCCTTAACAAGAACTATACACAGCTGTGTTTCTGCACACTAACTTATGCTGATTTGCCCAGTTCTAAGTGCTTTGCTGCATTCATTGCACTGTTCAGAAGCCGATAGCTCCTGTTGAAGAGCTCCTTTTTTTGTGATTCCAGCTCCCTTGGACTCAGTATTGATCTATTTCTTACCTTTTCTCTTTTGCTTATTTCTGCTCCCTGCTTTCAGTTTGAAACTTGTCTTGGGACTGTATTTTTCTTTATCTAGTCTGGTAAATGATGATGGAGATAAAGGTGTGGATTTCCTAATGAGGAAGGAATGCAACATGGAAGAGATTGTATGCGTTTGGAAGTACCTGGACTTTTGATAGGAATGCAAGTGTGATACACAAAGCTGACATGGCACTAGAGACTTTTATTCTTCAATAGAGGGAGCTGCTTTAGTTTCCAAAGTGTATTCTGCACTTCTGTGCATGAGGGCAGTGCTTGCGAGGCAAATTTGTTAGCCTGGAAAGTACAATACTGGGAAACATTAAAAGAGTTGCAAGAAGCTACTACAAGGACTGCATGCTGAATTTAATAATAATAAAAAAAAAATTTAAGTTTTACTGTACTGCTCCTACTGCAGCAATTTGGCAGGATTCTTGAAGTAACGCATAGAATAGGCCCCAGATGGGCACCTGTTATGTAAAATATTACTGTGATTTAAAAAAATTATCAATGTGGTTTGAATTCTTTTGAAAAAAAACTAGCCTTTCCCCTTATGGCATTGCAGTATAATGAAGTTAAATAATAAGTACATCGGACAGAGTTTATGGGTTTGTGTGATCACATCCTTGGTGGCTGTCAAGGTCTATCAATTATAGACTGATGGTTTGCAGTCTATAATCTTCCTTTAGTAGTTTATTAAAGCGTGTGTATGCATGTATACATATGTATAACTATGCATAGACCTCGATGCAGGAGAAGGAGATAAACAGCTTTTGACAAGCCTTGCTTTCCTGTCCAATATCATCCTGTAGTGACAAAGCATCTCACCCGTTTCTTGTAACTGGGATGATCACTTACGGCCAGTTCTTTGTTCACTGCTCATGGTCTCAAAAACAATGTACACAAAGATAGAAATTAATCTGTTTTCTGGAGAAGAGAGAGCATAGTGAGAAGGTCTAGTTAAAGTGCCCTTGACCCTCAGAACATGCAATTAGACCATAGCAGAAAAAGAGATGCTGTGTAATTCAAAATGAATCCTGTAGTATTTGATTGTGAAGAATGGCATTGTCACATTCCCTGTATGGCTTCAAAAGAAATTTAGTGCAGACTTTTTTTCCACATACCAAATAGAAGCATTCATTTCCCTTCCCCATCTCCAGCTGATGCATTTAGGGTCCAAGTGTTATTTACTTTTAACTTTACTGAATTTATTTTCTTCTGTTTTAGCAGAAGAGCTGGCAAAGTGCCATGTTCATATTGATTTGTTAAAAAAAGAGAAGAAAAAAGAAAATTGCAATTGAGTATCCAGCTCTGATGGAATTTATTTGTGGTGTCAGTGAACACATCTTTGTTATAAGATCGCAGGTTCTTTTAAGATAACACACTTGAGCTGTACATTTTTCTCTCCAGCAGCAAAGAATCTTGTTTTCAAAGGGGATAGGAGAAATACTGGGAACGAGGACTGTGGAGAACATGATATACATTGTAAAAAGGCCTGTAAAACAAATTAATTAGACTGACTGTAGGTAGAGTTGTTTTTCCAAAAGATGACTGATGACAGGGCTTGCTGAGTGTTTTCTGTGAAGTGCTCAGCACTTTGCAAGTTCAGGTCCAAACTTCTGCTATGAAATTTTTCAGAGGTCTAGAATACCTGCTGCTGAACAAGGGAATCATCTGCAAACAGCTGTATTCTTTCATTTTACTCCCTATTACCCATGCTGTGTCTATTCTTGAGCCACAGCTGCTCCTATGCTTTTCTCCTAATAAATCTTTTGCCATATAATACTGTTTGTGTCCGAGATGCTGCCTTGATTGACCGTTCGTTTGTCATCATCATCCTGTGCACAAAGTAATTATCATTCCACACCCTGGGGCTTCCCCATTCCCATCTGTTTAAAGTCTCTAGCACACTGTTACCTGCACTGCATAACTTCCATTGTGTGGAAATGTGGCCAGATCTTCATAATGCAGTTCTCTCTAAAGAGAAAAAGCAAAAGCTTTCTTTTTGCTTCACTGAATTCCCGATGTGTGAGACTGGTTCTCTGCAGCTCCTGTCACTTGAATGGACTGCCAATTTTTCTCCATCTCATTGATTTCCCATCTCAATTTGAAATCTTGCTTGGGGAGGAAAAAAGAAATTCTCCCTCAAGTTATGGAGTTCTGTTGTCAGGAGCAGTAAAGCACTTGAGGTAGGATTTACGTATCAGAGGCTGGCTGATACCAGTGCTGTACCAAAACAGGTCTTTAGATGCTAACATCTGTTCTTGGTTTTGTTTTTCTTTGCCATCTTGTTTAGAATTTGGAATGGTTTCCCTGATATTTTCCGCCGCTTTGGCTTACTTCCCCTCGCGCCCTCCATTCCCTCCCAGTGTGGCTGCAGCGAGTCAACGGCTCAGTTACAGGAGAAGTTTCTGCAGACTCTTAAGGTAGGTTGGGTTTCATTGTTTTCCTCATTGGGTTTCCACTTCAAAGCAGATCAGCACATAAGTAAATAAAAACAAGTGTGCTTTAATCATTGAGCAAACAAGTTGGTTTGTAGTGCTTTTAAACAAAATAAAATTAAATATTAATGCTAAGACATAAAAGGATAATAACTGCTAAAAAGCAGACATTAAATTTTAAATCATTGGCTATATCTCAAGCCGTCATGCCAGAGCTCTTCAGCACCCGCACTGCTTTTATTCATGCTGTTAGCACAGCTTTTCTCATGCAGTGCTTCTGTTGTATCTGGTTATACAAGATTAACAGTGTGCACCCTGCTAGGGTGAAGTAACAATTAACAACACTGGGCATAACTAATTGATAAGCTACTTTCTTCCGTGCTTATTATATTGGAATGATTTTAGGGTTTGCTTGTCATTCAGAGGAGTATTCAGCTGCTGTCATTCAGCTATGGGAGCAATGAATGAACTATCTGAAACCATTATATGATCTTTTAAATCTCATTGCTAGTATGTTACAATATGAAGTGGGAATAGGAGAAATCTATCTAGATGTGTTTCTAAACAGGTTCCAAGGTGAGTTAGTTTCCTTAAAATTTTGTTTGCTTGTTTTTAAAAAAGGTTGTAAAGAAAGTGACATCTCCAGCTTTGCAACTTCTTCTAGTGGGGCTCTTGGTAAGACACAGTCCCACTCCACCACAGTGTTTGTATATGTCTTGTGTAGTGGGAATCTGATCTCAGATGAACAAGTAAAGCAACTGTAATATTAATGCTGAATAATTGTGAAGGCCTGTGCCCTGTACATGATACTGCACAGATTAATTTCCTCGGGCAAAGAAGAGCCACTCCCATGGTGCAGAATACGGCTGACTTCACTGGGGAGCTTCAAACTCTTGCTGTAATTGTTTATTGGGTGATTTAATGCTAGAAGATGCGTCTATGTACAAAGGGCTTCTCGAAACTTAATAAATGTGGAGCTTTAGGCATTTAGCTATTACGGACCTATTGTGGCTGTGCTTGCTAAAACTATTTAAAGCTAGCAAAACCGTCTAATTCCTTCTTGTAACTTTTTTCTTTTTTTTTTTTTTGAGGTTTTTATTTCAGTTTTGGGAAGTAAATAGTTGACAAGATGTTTAATCCTGTGTGTCCTTGAACAGGCTGGCAGTTGGAAGGAGGTGTGAGTACGGCTGGCTAGTTAGTCAGCAAAGTGACCTACTCAGGGTATTAAGAAATTGCAGTTCCCATAAGGACACTTGGCACACACAGTAATGCCGTTACGCACCCAAGCTGGTGTGTGGTGAGACCATGCCTGAGGGTTGTGTTGTAAAAATGTTGCTGTTGAACAGAAATCCAAACAGCAACTGACCCTGAAGTTGAAATATAAAACTTTTGTTGACAGTACTCCATTTGGGAGCTTTATAACCATTAGATTCCGTGTTCACAGTGTTGTAAACAGTGGACCTGAGATACTGTTAAGGTCAGGAGGTAAACAGCAAAGCTGGCTTACTATTCACAATCAATGAACCTGAAGAAAACAAGCTAGATGCTTAAATAATGAGGATAGTTTATAGTGTCTCCAAGAACCAACAGGGCTTTTAAAGTGCGGTCAGGTAGATCATTATATCTCCCTTCCTTGTGGGCTTTATGCATTCTTCCATGCTACCCCTTATCAAAGGCACTTCTTCATTCCTCTGTACATGAAACAATCAACAGTTCGTCATTAAACCCACATATCTTAGGGAACCTTTCAGGAACAATCCATCAAGCAAGGGGGGTTTTACAAAAGAAAATGGTATCTGCTGTGTTTCAAGAGAAATCCATCATCTGATTCATTAGGATTTTAAGCTCTGTTGCCTGCCTAATCTAGGGTTCATAGTTCTTGGCACAGAGAGCCTTTCTTTTGACTTAGTGGTGTAGACTGAAGCTAATCAGCTGATGAGTAACAGGAAATCATATTTTCCCCGTATTGAAGACTTACCCTCTGGTATAAAACTGTGTAAGGCATTAAGAATGTGTGTAAGTTAGTGGGCTGACCCAACTGTGCACCAAAAACCGCTCATGATTATTGAGATGTTCATAATTTTACTCTTCTCTTTCCCCCAAGCTGCAGTTTTCTTACTTCAAAACAAAGCTGCGTAGCATAACTACCATTGAAGTCATTGACCTTTTTCTTTGAATGCTGAAGGGATCCATGACATCCTTGCAACTCCCAAACTCCTTCATGCCTTCAGGCCCTTGAGCAGTCATCTTCATGAGCTGCTTTTTGCTGAGTTGTATTTATACGTATCTTCCTTAGGGTCAGCCAGTCCCTATAGGCCATTTTGGGGGGACTTGCTTAGGAACTTGGTGGTTCTTCTTGATTTGGAGGATTCCTGTTTCTGACAGATTAGAATGATTAGCTGATCTCTGGTTATCTCCTGATACCAACTCTCTCAGCTTGCAGTGGGAGTTGACAGGTTAGTCATGGTTGGGGACCTAGATCTATCTCTTTTAACAGTCTGTCACACACTGTGACAAGTGTAGCTTGAATTTCTGTTACAAAAAGTACAGTGCCTTTCTGAGTTTCTTGGGTGAAGCAAATAAGACTTTTTTTTTCTTTTTTTCCCCTGTTTCAGAATATGCCACAAATTTCTATGGAGAAAACTTAATATAAGTAAAAAAAAGTTAGCAACTCTTAATATCTGCATCAAGTAAACATGTAGTGATTTTTGCTTTGAAGTAATTAGATGTTTTTAGCCAGTTACATGCATTTTATATTTTAAAGGGACTGTGTAAGCAATTTTGAAATTTCATAACAGAGTTCTTGTGCATCATTATTTCTTTAATGAAACTTTCATATGACATCACCATACAGTGATGGAAGCTGTTCAGAATGTGCATGATGTTAATAGGCACTGTCAAAGTTATTCTGAAAATGGTGACTGACTTTGATGGGGCTCCCACCTGCACCACCCTGTTGCACGGATTCTAGTGGTATTAAGTAGGTTTCTGAAAAAACACCAGAAGAAAAAGCCAATTCATATTTCCAGCAGAATGGTTTAACAGAGAGAGGCTAATGGTGATATCCTGTCATAAGGGCTGATACGATGGAAAACAGTGTGGTTTCACCAACTGATGGTGTGACAGACAGCATATTTTTCTGTTTTCAGTGGAGCAATTGCAAAATTGCAAAACAAATACAAGTGACTGGCACCATGAAAAGCAGAACTGCTACTTAAGTTGTGTGTTTCAAATGGCTTTAGCACTTACTGTAGCCAGCATTTAGCTATTGCTGGACAAGGGGGACAGAATGACATCTAGTGATTGGTGCAGATTTGTCACTGCCATGCACCCTTTCTCCTGATTAGCTTCCATATTCTGGAAACAAGGCAAGGTGCAGCCTCTGTCACTGAAGGATGTCATTATGCAGAGCTGGTTTTCTAGTATTGGTACTAGGGGTTGGACATGGCACAGAGCAGCTATCCGACATGCCAGTCTATCTTGTTGCTAGAGTTACAAAAGACAGATACACCACTGGAGATCTCAGTCAAGTAACTTACAAAGTACTCAGCCCCTCAAAAGTAGCTGTTTAATGAAGATGAGGTTCAGGTAGCCAAAGATTTTGAATACTGAGCAAGTATTTTGGAAGAGTGAATTCAGACTTTTTACTTCTTTGCAATCTATGACATGGCTATATGATGTTTATGCTAAATGGGCACTTCCCTTTTATTTTATTCTACAGATGTTGAATTAGCTTTTACATGAGTAGTATTAAATAGCATCAGAAACCTGCTTTAAGAGATGACAAATGATACAAGGTAGACTAGGATAAGAGTATGGCATTCTTAAGAGAGAGAAAAAACATTGTCAGGAAGACAGCAAACATTTTAGTATTCAGAGAAGTGCAAACAATGTATAGAAGAGCTGAAAGCTTGGGAGTTGCTTTTCTTTGCATTAAAAAATAAATCTGACACAAATTATATTGAAAGAGGAGGATATGTTCATGTGATAGAAATGTGTTATTCAAAAAGAGGATGTGTGAAAAAGAACAGTGAGAAAAAATGCTGGCTGGTGTGCTGTGCATGGATCTTTTAGGAGAGTAAAACCATGCAAGCTGCAAGCCTCTGAATGTTTTGAAGAATCTTTAAAGCTCTTTGCCTCCCTCTTGGCTTTCATAGCTGTGTGCTATCAAATTGCTGATGCATGCCAAGGACCTGGTGCTGATCAAGATCAATTTTATGTAAATTGTTTGTGAAATGGGGGAAGCACATTTTATGGTTACACAGATATTCCATGGGATAACCTTGGAATCACCATAAAATCTCTTCACTTTAAAATATTACTGTTGCAGAGTTCAAAGTATATTTTTCTGTTTTTATTCCCAAATCAAAAGATTTTTTGAGGAAAAGTCGGATGTCTCTTAGCAAAGATTTCACATTTGATTTTGGTTACGGTGGGTGGGAGAAATTGATGGTGGTATTTGTCTGCCATCTCCTGTTTACAATGTGTACGATGAAAATGATCATAGAATCCACTAGGTTGGAAATGACCTTTAAGATCATAAAGTCCAACCATTACCCCAGGACTGCCAAGTCCATCACTAAATGGTATCACTTTTTTGAACACTTCCAGGGATAGTGATTCCACCTCTTCCCTGAGCAGCTTGTTCCAATACTTGAGCACCCTCTCTGTGAAGAAATTTTTCCCACTATCCAATCTAAACTTCCCCTAGCACAGCTTGAGGCTGTTACCTCTTGTCCTGTCACTCGTTACTTTGGAGAAGAGACTGACCCCCACCTCACTACAACCTCCTTTCAGGTAGTTGGAGAGAGTGATAAGGTCGTTGTCCCTGTCCATCCTCCCCGCCCTGCCCGAAGCCTTCTCTTCTCCAGACTAAACAATCCCAGTTTCCTCAGATGTTCCTCATAAGACTTACTCTCCAGACCCTTCACCAGCTTTATTGCCCTTTTCTCGACAGGCACCATCACCTCCATGTCTCTCTTGTAGTGAGGGGCCCAGAACTGAATGCAGTACTCGAGGTCTGGCCTCACCAGTGCCGAGTAAACGATGACAGAGCTTTGACTGCTTCATCTTCCACTGAATACTAAAGGCTGAATAATTTTAATTGGGAGGAAAAAGCAAACATGCTGACTATTTAGATCAGAGCATTATACTTGTCTCTGTTTTTTGACAGTTCAAACTGTCAAATTTTTCCACTCTTGCTACTGTACCCATCTTGGTTTCCAGAGCTTTCCCTGCCTTTCACCAAAATAAAGAGAACTAAAACAGATTAAAAAGAAGAAAAAACACAGCTCAAAAAGCACGATCCTCTGATTTTATTCTTGAAGTATGTTTTTTGTCATTCAAATTAGTACTTACTATTCCTAACATACACTTAGGCTAAGTAGGTTGCCCATGCTGATGCTTGGAAGAATTGCATGTGGAAATGAGAAATACGTGAGCCCAGCATGTTACAGAAATCTTTGAACTATATGAAGAGACTGACATTTTTGATGTCACAGTGTTAAGGCAGTAGCATCTCAGCCATTGGAATTTCTGTGACATGGCCAGATACCTTTCTTGATTTTTGTGGCTCACTTCTCCTTCAGACCTCTGCTGGTTTTTGTGATGGGCAGAATATAGATTCTAAGGTGTCATTTACTCTAGCAGCTAATCTTGGTGAAGTTTCTAATATAAGCTGCAGCTAATTGCGTATGTTTTGTCTTCGCAGCAATTTCCGATTCTTGATGATTGCTTTAGCCTATGCTATACCTCTGGGTGTTTTCTCTGGCTGGTCTGGTGTTCTGGATTTGATATTAACGCCAGTTCACGTAAGCCAAGTGAGTATCTCCTAACTGATATTCAGCAGCTGTTTTGTAAGTGACATTTTTTATTTTGCACTAGCATATCATTTTATCAGGTTCTTCTGTTTGGACCACTTTTCTTCTGAAATCTTAAAGAAAATAAACTATAGCTTTGGCATCCCAAAGTGTCACGATTCTCCCTGCTGACTCTCCACCAGCGGTGGGTATTTTCAGAATTATACAAACCTTTGGACAGGAAGGAGGAGTCAGGTAAACAAACAGGAGTATTGTTGGCTGCTGCACCTTTAGTGAAAGAAAATAACGTTTACCAGGTAGAAATGATGCAGTGCGGAGAAGAGGATTTCCAAGCTTTTGATGGAGTATTATAAAAATGCAGAAATCATTACTCAGATTCTGTGAAGAGAGGTCACATTTCAAGCACAGGCTACTTAGTCATACTTTCTTTAAGTGAATTTATTTCCTTTTGAACATGCTTGAAAAAAGTCTACTCAGATTGTGGTTGGGCAGTGTTAGCAGTTTGCAGCTCCTCACACCATTTGTTTTGAAAGTAACATTTTATCATCTTATTTTTTTAGCTTTAACACATTTCTCTGTTTTGATTTGTTTGTGGTTTTGTTTTTTTTTTTCTTCTGTCAGGTAGATGCAGGCTGGATTGGATTTTGGTCTATAGTTGGAGGCTGTGTTGTTGGCATAGCAATGGCAAGGTAGGAATAATTACAGGACCTTCTCCATTTCTTCAATTGCGATTGTCATTTAGCTTATCCTCTTAATAACATAAGTTGTTCTCTCTCATTTTCCAGAGGCTTGAAATTCAAAATGCATTCTGGGGTTATGATGTGTTTCTTGTACAGCAGTAATTTGTATGTTCCATGTTAGTGGTTGCTATGGGTTGAGAAGTCCACATGGGTATATCTCAAAAAGTCATACTCCTGATAAGTGCTTCCTCTGTGCTCCTTTTAAACACAGTTCTTGTGAATTCAGCTGCCTGGTATGAGGGAGAACCCATTGTAGTACATTTGGAAACCATTAGAGAAATGAGCATCAACATCCTTCCATCAACACTTTTGGGCATACTAATTTCTGAAGGGGTATTTAGAATGCAGCACAGGTGACCTACCCAAAATAACAGTACTTTCCTCCACAGAGAGATTAGTCTGGGCCTGTTTAGGCCAGTTGCTGGATTCTTATATGGCCTAAAAATTCTTTCAGGACGTACTTGCACAGTGAGTTTATAAAGCTGATTAGTACCAATTGCATGTTCCCCTTGCATCGGGATAGCCAAGCACTATTCTAGCTTCTCTCTGTCCACACTTTAGGCTCTGGATCTGCAATGAGCTTAACACAAGTGCAGAGCTGGTCATCATTGCAGTCACTGTGAGTCTGTGGACCCTGAGAGGCATCTTTTAGGACAGAAATTGAAGCACGCTCTTGTTTGTTTGGTTTTTTGTTTTGTTTTTTTTTTTTCCCTGCTTGCTGTTCATCCTCAGAGTACACAATACATAAAGAAATGTGAGGTTTATCATCCTGACATTTTGCAGGCTGCCTAGCAACTGTGATGGAGGGAGAGGAAAGAACTCCTGACGTAGGGAAAAGAAACAAGCACTTCCCTCTCATCTGCTCCAGATGCAGGCAGGCCAAAGGACTTAAGCTGTTGAAACAAAGTTCATACTGTGATTTCCTCTATATGAGCTGCTTTTGAGTAGCTCTGCTCAGATACGAGTTTTTCTCCCTAAGAGAAGTTGATATTTAAAACCAACTGCTGTAAATGGCACAGATGCTGTAGCAGGTTACATGCTGAAGCAAGTAGCTGGCCAGTTTCATCTCTTCCATCATGAGTTAATCTCTGGTATATTTGCAGTATTTCAATAGTAGAGGGGCACCCTTAGCAGCTCACTTAACTTTGTTAGGACAGAATCTGCTGACTCAATGCCAACATGCGAATCTCAGTCTTCATGGTAGATTAATTTATTTAATATATTGCCTGGGTTAAGTTTCAGGAAATGCTGACAGTCTTTTTTAACTGCTTCAAAACTGACATCAAATCTGTTTGAATACCAGTATTTTGTAGCATTCAGAGCTTTACTTTTAAGTAAATTAAAAAACCACCAATAGGCTGTCTCCAAATATGTCTTTCTAACTTGGGTGATACGCAGTTCAAATGGGAAGGTTTGCATACAGAAAGGGAGGGAGGAGGTGATCTGTCATTTGTGATGGATGACTCTCCTTCCTAGGCTTATTCAGCATTTATCTATGTAGGGTTGAATCAATGACGAGTCTGACTGTAATCTGCTGAAAGTTGTAATTAGGAAAATTAAGTAATGATTCTTGTCAAGGCTGACAAGTTGATGTATTTCAGTGTCGGAACTATGATTTGCCAAGCAAGCAGCTCTCTCCCTTAACCACCTCTCAAGAAGCTGTTGCTTTTGGGTTGGGTTTTTTTTTCCCCTTTTACTTTTTTTCCTGCTAATTTATCAAAAGCAAAAATGGTGCAGCTCAGGAATTTGCTCCTTCCATTTTTGTCAATGCAGATTCTGCCATTTAGAGCTGTAACAACCTGAGCCCTGCCCTGGAGCATTGGCTCCTGCACATCACAGTGGGTGTTAAATCATCTATATTTGATGTAATGTGCAGTTTGAAATTTGTTTATCTCATTTTTGAAATGGCGCAAGTTTTCCTCAGCACAATACATAAATCCTCCTGCTCTCCACCCACTGCTGTCCCAGTTGCTGAGAACTTAGATATGTTTAGTTAATTTGTGTGATGCATTTTTATAATTGAAAAGCCTGGGCTATTTTCGGCAGCTTTCAAATGTACCCTTTGCTGGCAGCTTTCAAATGATATTGGTTTGAAGAAAAGCAGTGTCAGAGCGACATTCATGTCCTTGCATTGAAGCATAAATCTGTTCCTCTTTCTCAGATTTTTTTTTTTTTTTTGCCACATTTTCTAATGTTCATAGGTGTTTCTGAGTTTTTGTCCTCCATGGCTCAATTTTTCTTCCTGCTTTTAATTTGCAGTGTAGTCAAAATGCTGAAATGTGTTAATTTCCTTAGCAAGAGAGAGTGTTGTCAGCATCACAGGTTTGTGATTTTAACTCTGCTATCCAGCCTAGGACTGGATTTGCTGGTTTGCAGGCTTTACCAGCAGTAGTTTCAGAGGTCTGTGTGGGGGTAAGTGTACACCTTCTCTCTTGGTGTGCCTGCTTTTTTAGCAGCTGCAGATGTCCCCTTACATGCTAGATGATAAAGAAGGATTTAAACAGAACACAGGGGTTTGAAAGAAGACAAAGGGACAGAGGATAAAAATAATTTATCTCATTTTTTGATTGAACAGTTACTAGATTTACAGTCATCTTTATTGTCCTGTAAGCAGACAAGAAGCGGAAGTCCCTCAATAACCACGTTCAGGCTAGTTTCCTATGTCAGTTTTTTCCTGTTATTCCAGTTACTGGCTGAATTGGGTAGCTGCATAAACCATTAAGTTTTTATTTGACCCTTCTGGAATCCTGTGATATCTGTGAGCTCCTTGGCACATACTGCTACCACTGATACCCAGACCAGGATCTTTGTGTCAAAAAGGGTTGCAGCTACTCAGTAGAGTACTTGCTCTATAGTACTTGCTTCATTTAACTGTCTTGAATGGTTTAGTTGCATATCATCATCCCATCCACACATATCCCTGGTGGTAGGATGGAGATAGAGGGCACCCTAGAGATCCCTTTCAGATCTGTTTTATGTAAACATCCTTTCCTGGAGGCTGATATTTTCTCACACGGTGTTTCATTAGATAGAATCATAGAATCATTAGGGTTGGAAAGGACCTTGAGATCAGCAAGTTCCAACCCCCCTGCCACGGGCAGGGATACCTCACACTAAACCAGATGGGATATGTGTGACTGCTCTTTGCTGTAAGGAGAGGGAATACTGATGTTGTCTGCAGGCAGGCAAAGTGGGGAGTCTCTGTGGAGGAAGACAAAAGTTTGCACTTTGAGATACTTCTGAAACTCTTTAAAATAGCTGATTCTGACCCCAGTGGTCCTAAAGAATAATTAAAGAAATTGAAAAACCACTGAGAAGAGGTGATCCTGATTGCTGGATTTGGATTGTCAGAAAAAAACAACAGTAGCAGCTGACCTCTGACTATTGGAGATTAATGCATAAGCTACTTGAACGCTGCAGTCATAAACTTTTAAGATGATGTGCAGCATTGATCTTCTGTTGCTGCTTATTGAATTACTTGCTGCTAAATTCAGTGTGGAATTAAAGCACCAGGACAATCAAAATAAGAGGAAAGAAGTAGGTCTTTTGGATTTTATTTTTTTATTGCAGTACTTGTACATCTCTTATGGTGTATGTGGCACTAAAATTCCTAGTTCTCAAAACGTCAGTAGCAGTATCTCTTTTAACAAGTAAGCCATAAGGTATCTCCCTCTAAAGTGATCTTTGTCAGGGCAAAGAAGGCAGTTAGCTGACAGATGGACATAGTTCATCATGGACCAACCTAGGTGGATTAGCTGCCATTAGGCTAATCAAGGTAGGAGGCTATGAGGGGAGAAGATACTCTTTAGACATGCATTCCTAATCTGTCCAGCCCAAAATCACATCTGAACAGGAGATTATAGAAAATTACTAGTGGATGAATGACATTGCCTTTTCTAAGAATACATCTTTTTAAGTAGCTATGTGGAAATTCCTCTTGAGAAGAGCAGTTGCACTGATAATTATGCCATAGGAGAGCTGCTCAAATGCATTCTGTCTCCTTGAAAGAAAAAGGACAAAAGATAAAAAAAAACAACTGTCCCATCAGGTGGTACAGTCAGTGGGGAATGTGTAGGAGTGGAGTGACACCAAACTGTAGGTTTCTGGAACATTCCAACCCAAAACAGCCACCGGCAGAGTGACCGCTGCATGGAGTTCCTGTTTTGGCTAAGCCACCAAGAGCTTCATTGCCAATGCATCCACGGGTTCAGAAGCTGTTCCTTGTCACCTTCATTCTAGGAATTCTGGTATTTGGAGTTTTGTCATTTCCCACAGGAATGAATCTTGGTACTTAACTATGTCTTGAATGAAATACAGCAGCCTCCTCGTATGCTAATTGAGCAGTGTGTCTGGCAAACACTGACAGAGCAGCGATGTAAGTAGTGGTGTGATGTTGTGTCCAACAAATGCAGAAGAAAAAATAATCCTTCCTATACACCAAGTGTTTTCAGTTGATGTTTTGAGAATTGTCCTGGTTTGGTTGTTATTTTGTGACAGCTAAAAAATCCAAGGCTCTTCAGCTTGACAGCTAAAAATACTACCATTCTATAAAAATGCCTTTTATCTATTTCTGAAAACGAGAAAATATTCTTAAATTGTTTTTATAATCTCCAAAATATTTAATGAGAATACAGTGGATTAATTGTCAAGCATCACATATTATGAAAATCAGCATTTGTCCTGGTCTGATTTGTGCTTTTATTTTAGATTTGCAGATTTTATCAGGGGCATGCTGAAGTTTATACTGCTGCTGCTTTTATCTGGAGCAACATTAGCATCAACCTGGTTCACTCTCACCTGTCTAACTAGTGTCACTCATCTGCCTCTAACCACAGGTATTGACAATTATTTTAATTCCTATTATTGATAATTAGTATATCAAGCAAATATTTGCAGTCTTACACCAACTTTATTATAACTTGGTTTGGTATCTTTAGTTATACTGTAGTTTTACCAAGACTGTTGAAGCTGAAGGATCTTTACCAGCTTTGAATAACTTCAAAAAAAAAAAAAAAGATTAAAAAATAACAAAACCCAATAATAAAATCCCAGAACTTACATTTAAAATTGATTTTGGGACTGAGTGTTTTTCTGATTTGACTGGTTTGGAGTAACAGAGGTGAGAAATCAACCAAGAAAAATCAGATGAATGCAAGTGGTGCTGTGTGTAAGAAGCAGTGACATGTCTGGGAATTTAAGGTTTTGAAACTTACATTAATTATTGGAAACATGTGATGCAGTTCAAACCAAGGTGACCCATAGTATTTTCAACCATCTAAATCTATCCCTGAGCTGTGCTGTCCTTTTTGCACCTGCATGAAGGTTCAGGGAACTCTTCCAGCCCAAAATTAACTCAGCTCATGCCTCAAAAAGATGAGGAAAAAAGCTGTTGGCAGGAGTGGGGGAAAAGCTCAGAGGTCTACGCAAGCTGCCAGCAAGCTGTACCCTTAGTTGGAAATTAGCACTGCTTAGTTCTTAAAAATCTGTCCTTCTCCTCACTATCTGCACCAAAGGACTCATCCCCTGTGATTCCAAGACCTTGAACAGAGTAATGCATTGCAATAAAACTAAGCCATCAAGTTTTTTAAAAATTATTTATTCAAGAATTCTGTGCATCCATTTTAAAGAAAGTGCCATCTTTGTTATAGCAAGTTTATGCATTTAGGAGAATTTATTTTTTTTTTCCCATTTTAGATAAAGAGTTTGGTGTGGAGATAGAATATAAAATACTGGTTTTCTCAAATTAACTTTGTGTTTCAGTAAGGGTCCTTGGGTCATCACATATGTCGCAACCAAAAACTAAAGTGGGTACAGCAAATTGAAATACATGATCAAGTCAGGAGAAACACCATCTGGATGGATAGGTCAAATTTGTGATTTATCTTGAAATTTCAACTTAAAAAAACAAACTAAACCACACAAAACCAAAAATGTAATTAAATCGATAAATCAAATTTCATGGTGGCTGTTGTCATACCAAATGACTGCACTTTTCCATCAAATCTAAAATAAACGCAATAAAAGGTTATTTCTTGTGTTTGCCTGTTTCATCACTACAAGCCTGCAGTAATGTGAATTTTTACAGTAACTCTATCCTCTGAATTGATGTAAGAAGCCAAACACATAAATGTCCCTTCAAGTCTATGCATAAGAATGAAGCGGAAAGGTTTCAAGAGGTGAAAGTCATTACGTGTGTACTTGCCAATGATCCAAAACAAAACTGATGGAGCTCTGCCTCTGATTTTATTTTTCTGTAAAGAACTCAGCAATGTGGGTTCTAGAAGACTTCTTATACGTTCACAGCATATAGGTGCATTATGGTGGGGTTTTTGGAAAGGTGATCTGTTGTCAGAATATGAGAGTATGTAAGGTATTCAGGTTTTGATGTAAAGTATCCTAAACTAGCATCCCTTGACAAAATTCCAGGGATTGCGTTGTTCTTTTCATGCAGTTATAATTTCTTTTAAAATGGACGGTTCCTTAGATTGAGTTGTAAATTATGTTTTACAGTTTTCTGTTTGTACTGTTCTTATATATCATTGTAAATGGTGAACCTTTTTCTGTAAAACTCAACCTTGTTTTGCATAGAAGTGCCAGCAATATGGTGCATTCCTCAGAAAGTGCAATGTAAAGCATCAGGGCGTGATGTGCAGCCACCAAATCAGATCTCTTTTTTTCTTTTGTGGCATAACATTTAAACTTCATAGAAACGTGGGCAGGGGTTCATATCAGCCTTTTCTCATTAAAGTTTGTATAAAATAGATGTAATGTGCCTATTCAATTTATATCCTTGTGCACAGAAAAGCAGTGGTGTATTTTTATGAAATATGCTGTTACGGATGAAAACACACAAGCTATTTAATCTAATTTATAGGACTTCATGCTAGATTATTCCTCAGTGTAATGATGCAATATGATGATGACCTCTGCATTGCACAGTAATTGGGAGAAACAGTACATTTGAATTGATTTGGATGAACTTCTTTTCTTCTTCTTTTAATTAAAAGTTTGAGATGCAGATTATATCAGAATATAGATATAGGAGGTCAAATGCAGGCCGTTGACAGCTGCTTGATCCACCACAGGCAGACCTTTCCAGTGGTTTCCCCAGGTCCAAAAAGAATGTTTTCCTTTAGTATGTGGATATTGTGTGGCATACATGCTCATTCCCCTCTTCCGAAAACCCTCTGCCTGCCTCTCACCTGGTCTCCTGAGTAAGCACTCAGGTGGGTACATTTGCATAGAAGCAGGCTTTTGAAATGCTGAAAAGAGGAGGAGGTTTGGCCAATAATTTACTCTAAAGGGGAGGGAAGAAAATCTCTGTAAAAAATTATTTTTAAAATATGAACCAACCAACTCCCATCTTTTAATCAGTATTCACTGTAGCAATTGTAGTAATGTCTGGTTTAAATATTGGTGGAAGAACTGTATTTGAAGAAATAGTCACAGCAAAATGTTTTTTCCTGCACTTGTTTGTGTAATATTCTAATTCCTTGTAAGTAGGTACGACATCATGTAAAGGTACTTCCTTCAAAACGTAATTACTTAGAGTGGAGACCTTTAATGCAGATATTAAAAATCAATGACTGCTTTCTGTTTTCTTTCAGTGATAGTTCAGCATTGTTTGTATTGTGTAATGTAATGCCTGCACTGCTATGCATTATCATAATATGCTCCATTTTTCTCCTGCCACAGAGCAAGACAAGTTTTCTGTCATTTGCTGACTTCTTAATGTATCTCCAAAAGGCTTTTTTAAAAAGTGTATTTGGAGTCACGTGTATGAACTAGAACTGCCAGTGTTGGGTAAAAAGGAAAGGCAATAATGATATAGTGCCATCATAGCTACCATATCAACTGTCTACCTCTCATCAGCTAATCACAGCTCTTAAAAACCCCTGATTCTGGAATTAGTTTATATTTTAAGCAAGTTTGAATTTTCTTTTAAGAAATCTCAATTTTAGTGTATATTATTTGCATCTTTCAACAAGATTCAAAGACAATTTTATGTACACTTTGAGCATTAAAATAGTTTTCTCTACTGAAATCCCAGTGCAGCTGCTGATCGGTTTCTCCTGTGCCGAGTTCTTTGTTAGCTTGCTTTGTACTGAACTTCATTATGTGAATTTATGTACAATGGGATACTTTGACCCAGCATAATTGTGTAAGGCATTGTAATGCCAGTTTCAGATTCTTGCCACTTTGTATTGCTGGTAGTATCTCTGGATACAAATACTAGGATTTTCCAAAAATGGATATGCAACGCTTTCAGCTCACAACTCAGATTGTTTTCAGTGCAGCATATCACAAATATTCTAATATTTATGAGCACATTCAGCAGAATTTTGCTTTACAAAATCTTTTGTAGTGCTGCATGGCAGAAACTCTGAATACAGTGGCAATGTCTTGAGTTGATGACTGTATTCAGGTTAAGCAGCCTACCCTTTATTTTCAGGTTCAACATCTTGAACAGTATAAACATATCTGTCTCCTTGTCCTCATCTGTAAAGCACAGTATTGAAAAAGAGAGATGTTAATTATACAATACTGGTTGTTTTATTCTTTGAATTTTATTTCTGTACTATAAACAAGATGTGCTTGATAAGTATAAGGCAGGAGGACCCAGAGGATAAGGCAGTAGCTTGAAAACATTTCTTTTTCTAGCTTCAGCATTAACCTGCTTCTGGCTGTGGACAAATCATTACCCCCACTCCTCTTGTGCTTTTCCCAATCATAAGATGGGAATAATGACCTTTGTCTTCTGAAGGCTTCTGTAAATCCACAGATAGAACTTAAAAGAAGAACTAATTTTAGAGGTTAGTTTAAAAACCCAATGTTAAATAGCGTACAGTGTTTGAAATCTGGGAGGAGCATTTCAGGGATAAAAATCAATAAATCGGCCACAAATCCATCGATAACAAGCTTCAAATATTGTAGAATTTCCAGCCCCACTCCTCCCACCTACTTTTTCTGGTTTGTTTTTGGTTTGGTTTTTTACATTTTGATGCCCACTCAGTAATTTCTTCACTTCTTAGTTCTCCAAAGTAAACGTGCTTTACTTGGTTTCGGGTTTTTTTTTCTTCTATAATCAAATTACAGTAAAAATTACTGTCTTACCTTGAGGGGAGTCACATTTTCCATGGAAAAACGGGGACTTCTTCCATGACTATTCTTATTGTGGCATGTAGCAATAATTAAATTATAGGGAAGTGTAATTTCACTTTAAGACATTACAGAGTTTGGTAGAAGCAGACTTTGATTTGTTCAGATCATTTGTGGGCATACTGATGTCAACAAAGCATGCATCCACATGAGACATTATCCTTCATTTTGGCATCTGGGGTACTATTATAACAGTAATAAAGTGCCCTAGATCTTTGCAGGTTTTGCTTTAAATTGTGTGCTGCACCCAAGAGAACATATTCAGCTTTATTTACTTTCCTGTTTATCCATATGAAATTTGTGTGAGTCTTGGCTCAGTCTGTGTGAGAAGAGAACTGTTACAAAATGTACAGAGTTCAAGAGTTTCTGGCAGAGGACTTTGGAAGAAGATACTGTACCACCTGCTTGCAGCTGATACTGCTCTAGAGTGTCCGCATTTCCTTTGTAAATTTACGTGCAAAATACTTTTTTTTTTAAGATTTTTAAGAAATTGTAATATTTCATTTTATTTATAAAAATAATCCAAGATGTGCGTGCCAGCGGGTTGATAACTGTTTACATCAGTGGAGGCCCTTCCATTAAATTTCATTTGGATTAGGATCGCACTCTGTAGTTATACATTTAGTGATGGTATAATTTAAGAGTAGATTGGTAAACGTGTTGCAGAACATCCTGGGCAGTTCTGAGAACTTGTTAGGCTGTTGTCAGAGATACTTGAGGCTCCTTCTGCTGTGTTGCAAGCTCATCTGGAGACACCAAGTACATGCCGTCATTTAAATCACATCCCTGTTTGAATTCCCAGGTTTTTTTCCTTTTTTTTTTTTTTTTTTTTTTTATTATGAAGCTTTTGCCACAGCTTGTGGTTGAGAGAAGAGAAAGTCTCTTTCTGGGATACAGGCATGTATTTGCCAACTGGTAGCTGAAGGCCTGCAGAGTATAAGAAGCCAGGAAGGAACCTTTCTTCCTACTGCTTTTTCTTCTTTTTGTACTAAGACACTGGTATCAGCAGTCCCCAGTTACTATCTTGCTTCATCTTACTGGTAGCATCTCTACTATTACTATCAAGGCACATTTCAGTCCTTGCTTCCATCCTGGCCAGGAGAATGAGTGCTGAGGGAATAGCATGGGTTGCCTCACACCTCAAGCATGAACATGACATGACAAAGCCTAGCTTGAGCCTGCTGGTGCGGCAGCTTCAGGCCAGTTCTCTCAAGCAGCTGTGCTTTGGATGGGTGTTTTGCCTTCCCTGTTCTTTTTGCAGTGGCCAAGCTGAGAAATAGTTGCTTAAGTGACACAAACATCTTTAAAACATTAAATTAATCAAAATAGTTCAAAGAAACCTAGCCCAGTTCCATTATTTATTGATGTCCACAGCTGCCACTGTCTTGGGTACACAGCTTTGTGCATAGCTTCATAGGGAGTTAATTCCTTTTCTTATGAAAAAGTGATCTTTTATACTAATAGCATGACATGCTTCCTCAGTATATGCCTATCCAAGCTAGTTGTTTGTCCTTGTTAAGCTTTAGGACATAATGTTAGCTTCTTGGTAAACCATCTCTTTTTTTTTTTTGTCAGTGCTTTCATATCCTTAGATTCATTTCCAATGATTGTCATCAAGATAGTCTTAATTGAAAAAACATTTGCTGTAACTTTAGCAGCTGTTCTTCTACAACATAAAATCATAGTAATTGTTTGTGTTCATTCAATACAAGGTTGCTGTAATGAAAAGTAAATGGTCTCTGTTAATGGGTCATATTCTCCCTGCTACAGTATCTTGTTGCCCATGAGTTGAAATATGAGATGTGCTACTTAGTGGGTGAAATAAAAGGCAAAAGCTACTTTTGAACTCTTATTTGACTTTTTTTTATTTGACTTTTTCCTGTAATGTTTTTTTTCTGAAACTGAGTATCTTAACTTTGATTTTCTATCTAGTTGACCAATTAGATTTGTGACTTAATTGCTAAGTTAATGGTATAAGCTTATTTGTATAGCACTCAGGAGGACCCTGGATGATTTACAGAAACATGAGATCAAAAATATTTTTCCATCACTACAATATGTCCTCATTAAGGGAGGCTTACAAATGTGTACCTCTCCTTCACTTTCAGAACTTCTTTTTCTGGTTTACCTATTAAAAGCTGTCATTTCCACTAAATCTTTGAACTTAAATTAGCAGCTACTAGACCCTGTGTTCTGCCTGTCCTTTTTCCTTGACATTTCTGCATATTAATTCCAGATATGTGTACATATATGTAGGCTTTGTTTTGTAAGTGTTACCTGTAGTCTCAGTTTTGGCATGAACATTTGAGACAGGTAATACTTCAGGGAGAACCAAAAGGCAATGCTAAAGCTGCTTTGCTCATGGTAGTATGGAAATGTGAGGTGTGTGCCAGTGGATGCATTTGCATGACTGAAACAAGGTGTTGTGACAAGGAAATGTAAGGTTGTAGTTTCTAAAGTACAGAGTTATTATGCTTGTTTGCTTATGGTCTAGTCTTCTTAATACAGTTTAGTAAGTGAGGAGCAATGATGTAATTCAACTACTATATTTTAAACTAACAAATTAATTTGAAGGCTTCTGTTTGTTTTATGAAAACTTTGGCACCCACTGAATTGACTAAAATTTGAAATCTTGATCTTTTAAATGGCTGCCGATTTTAGATGCACATTTTTGCCTTTATCAGATGTGAATCTTAAGTTTCCGGAAATCACACGTCTGGAGTTTCTCTCTGTTCAGAGGCATATGATTCTCCTTTCACGGCTGTTCTTAATGGAGGAGATTTCAGTCTTCCAGCAGAGGTATTGCCTTTGGCACTCTCTGTATGCAGCTCCACTTTTGATGGTGCTATTGTGGCTTTCAGCAGCTTCACAGCTATTTCCACTGTTTGAGTTTCTGATACAGAATTACAGCTGGCTACTACCTTCTTTTCTTTGGGGAAAGTTCTGAAAAAGTTCTTTAGAAGTTACAAGTAGTTGCAAGTATAGATATATTCAATTGAGTGTAGCGAGGGACAGATGTTCATTTGTCTTAAAAGATTGTTTCATTTACTTGTTGATTTCTCAAGCCAACACAAAAATTTCGAATAGCTGAATATGTTCATATTTGCTGGCTACACCTGATAGCAGTTAGAGACAGACGGATATGCAATGATGTTGGAAGTAAGCAGGAGTTCGAAAGGAGGTTCATGAAATTTTAAGTACTGGTGAGGACTTGCAGCAAAAATCTCTGGATCTTGTAACTAGGGAATGAATTCTTCAGCATTAGCTAGAAGGGTCTGTTAGGAAGAGCATTCTGTTCTTATCATAGAACAGTTTTGGAAGGGACTTTCAAAGGTTACCTAGTCCAACCGCCTCACAATGAGCAGGGACAGGTTCAACTGTATCAGGTTGCCCAGAACCACATCCAGCCTGTCCTTGAGTGTCTCCAGTGATGGCACTTCTACAACCTCTCTGGGTAACCTGTTCCAATATTTTACTGCTGTCACAGTAAAGGTTTTTTTCCTCACATCCAGCCTGTATCTCCCCTCTTTCAGTTTAAAACCATCACTCCTTGCCTTGTCACAACAGGCCCTGCTAAAAAGTCTCTTCCCATCTTTCTTATAGGCCCCTTATAAGAACTGAAAGGCCACAATAAGGTCTTCTTGGAGTCTTCTCCAGGCTGAACAGCCCCAACTATGTACTGGTTAGAGCTTTTTTTTTACTTCCTGTCTGACAACTCTTGAGCATACTTTCTTTGACTTTTGTTCTGCAGTTTATAATACGGGAATTTGAGAGTTGGAAAAGGGTTTTGGTTTTGTTTTTTTTTTGTTTGCTTTGTTTTGTTGGGGGGGGGGGGGGGGTGTGGTTGTGTTTGTTTTTTTTTGTCTTAACAATTCAGAACATTCTGGTATATTACAAAAAAGCAGGGGCCAGCTGTCCCTCCTGAAGTCACGCCATCTCTGTCATCTTTCTGCCTGGGACTGCTGTCCTCTTTTCTTTTCTCCCTGCCCAGGCAAATCCTCTGTAGAGAAAGAAATATGTCTTTGTGCCTTGGAAGCAAACCACATCAAACAGAGGATCTGATAGACAGCCCTCTCTGCTTCTTAATGCCTTTATCTCTTTTCCATGATTCTTCATATTTTAAGAAACATGTTTTTTTTTAAAAAAATACTTTTTTAAGCTGGTCGTTTTCTGCTTCCTGGCAGTTTCTCAGTTGAAAGTTTGGGCAGTTCATACCAGAAGATGAAGCAGAGCTGTTTCACTTCGCCCCTTCCCAAGACAGAAGAACATAAATTAACCTGAAAATGCAGTTTCTATTTTATATAAACATACATATCTATATGAAAAACCTGTCTAAGAATTTTGTACCATACTGCAGTGAAAAGATGCTATAAATAATTTCCCTATGACTTTGTAACATTTTCATATCTGAATTTTTTTTTTTTTTACATTTCCTTGTCATTTTGGTGGTAACTTCAGAAATTATTCCAGACCTCTTGGTTTTTGTTTTTTTTTTTTTGGGGGGGGGGTGTTTTTTTTTGTTGTTTTTTTTTTTTTTTCCCCAATCTTTGTATAGTTTCTTTATCCTTTTTACTTGATCAGGAATCTCAGGTTGATGAAGTTTCAGGTCAGGAAATCTCTCCCTTCCCAAGATAGCACATTATTTACATTTCTATATAGGTACTGCTATAGCATATAAAGCAGCTGTATTAAGATACTAAGCTGTAAAGTATTTGGCAGTGGCAGAGATGATACAACAAAATACCTGAGGCTACTGAAGAAATATCTGTATTCTTCTGTTGATTTGTCCAAGAAAAACAATTTGTTGTACAGTGGTGAATAATCTGTATTATCGAATATGTCCTGTTCCTGCCAGGTACTCAGTGCCCTTCATTTCCTTTTGAAGCCAAAAGGGATTCAACATGTTGCAGCTCAGTCCGTGCTGAATACTAATGTCTTGTTATCTGGTAGATCATTAGTATTTATATGTAAAATGGAAGCAAAATTAGTTTTGACCTTTAGAGCTAAGTCAAAAGTTTAATCCATGTCCATTTCCAATTTGGTGCACTGATTGTTCCCTTTCCTAATTGTGTGTAGGACAATAGTTTGCGTTCATTTCAGAGGTAAACGAAAATATAGGTGATGCTTTGCATTCATAATTTTGTTGGTTTTTACTTACAAATGAATTTCAGATCACTCAATGTGTCTTTATGGCTTCTGTTTAAAAAATAAATAATATAATAATAAAAGAAAAAATCAGAATTTCTGATGCTACTTCCCCTCCCTCCCAAACCAATGCATACATTCTGCCTAAAACTAAGTGGGATGTGATATGCTTTGTGATACACAGAGGATAAAAATCATTTTATGCGTTTTTTGGTTATTCAAGTATTAGTATTCTTGGCAGCTCTGAACAAGGGGAAAAAATGCCAGCATGAAATTAATAACTGTTTTGTTTCCATTACAGCTACACTGTACACGTCCTGCATTTTGTTGGGTATATTCCTCAACAGCAGCGTACCAATATTCTTTGAGCTCTTTGTGGAGACAGTCTACCCTGTTCCAGAAGGAATAACCTGTGGAGTTGTCACTTTTTTGAGTAATGTGTTTATGGGAGTGCTTTTGTTTTTCCTCACATTTTACCATACAGGTAAGAAATAGAAGCTTCTTTGAAAATATAATTCTCCAAATATTAAGCCATAACCTTGTCACTAAAGGGAGGGTTTTCATGTACGATTTCTGTTAATAATCAAATGTTGGAATCCCTCTGTGTGACTGCAAGGGAGAAGAACTTTGATGGTTCTTTTCTATATGCATGCTAAAAAAAAAAAAAAGGGTGCTTTAGTGCAGGCTGCATATACTCATATTCTGCTTAGAATTTAGTGTAGCCAGAAACCATGAAGGTACTATCATCATGGTTTTTATAAAGGCCTGAGCAATGTGACCATTATATCTTTGTATCTGTGGGTGTTCAAAACCATAATAATATGAATCCAATCTCATGCTTTGGGGTATAACTCTACCGTCTAGGAGGGGCAGAGCAGAAATGCCCCATTTGTGGTCAGCTCCGTTCAGTGTGTTGCTGGACTTGCGATTGCAGGGGAGAGAGCATCTCTCAACCACTATTTAAAGATGAAATATTCATTCCTTTGGGTAATCGTAGAATCATAGAATGGTTAGGTTTGGAAAGGACCTTAAGATCATCTAGTTCCAGTGGCCTAATTGGGCACAACAGTGTTGTGCTTGGTATTTTCATCAAATTCTTCAGACCTTCTCATCTCTCAAGTATTATTTCATTCCTGGTAACTCATAATCGTAAGTTTGAACTTGCTATTTAATAGACTACAATATATCTTATTACACTGAGCTGTAAAGTGAGAACCTATCTTGCATTCAACAAGTGATCTTTATTAATGGTTTTCAAAGATGCAGAGTTTTGATTTGTATTCTGTTGTTGTGGTAAATGTTTGCTTTATGATGCAAGATTTGTAAAGCAATACTTAATTCTTGCTTTGGAAGCATTAGAAATTGTGAGTTTTTATATATTATTATGAGTGCATGTCCTTCTTAAAGTGGTGTCTTTTATAACCAAGAGGAGACTGACAAATTTCAGAATTAAATGTGCTTGCAACATATGGGTTTAGGGGTGGTGGTGTTTTGTTCTTTTTTTGTTTGGGGTTTTTTGGTTTTGTTTTTGTTGTTTGTTTTTTTTTGATACTGACATTGAACTGCATTATTGTAAAACCTGAATTCCATCCCTGCTAGCCTTCGATGGTGTGATATTTGGTCTTCACCTTTTAAAGGATGCTTTTATGATTAATTAATATTAATTGGTGTGAACTCTGTTCACATGCACTGTTATTTCCAACATTTACACCTGAGCTGAAAAGATTGCACAGAATATTCTGAGAATTTTTTCAGCATTTTTCAGAGTGACAGTCCAATGTTTGGAATTAGTTGATAACTGAGGATGGGGATAGTGTGTCTCGCTTCTGACTGAAGAGTTATGATGAAGTGAAATTGTTCCCTTATAATAGGGTATTTGGGGCCATCTTTTGTCTCTAGTATTTCTTTCTCTAGCAGGTAAGTGAGTGCATGCAAGTAAGGATAAACTTGGAATTAGTGTATCCATATACTTGGATTATTTTTCCCATTTCTTCAAAGGAAAAAAGTAATTTGTGCTTAGTACAATCCATTTTCTGTGATGCAGTTAAATACAAGAGTGTATGTAGTCACTGGGGGAGATTGATGCCAGTGGGTGCTATTGGCTCATTTGAGAAGGAGGAAGACTCCGTTAGAAGGTACATAATTTTAAACACTGTCTTTCATTTGATTCAAATGCATTCTCTGATGGCATTTAAGAAGCTTTCACATAAACCAGAACTCAGTCACATTTCTCGTGTTCCCTTGGCCTTGCTTTTTGGGCCAAATAATCTTTCTGTAGTTTGAATTCCAGTTTCTCGTTTTCTCCTTGTACTCTGATACTGCAAAGGCTGTGAAAGAGCCAAGCCCTGGGCACTTTCCAGAGTACTGAAGATTTTAGTCCAGCTAGCATGGTGGAGATGTAAACCTTTCTTAAGCTCAGCCTATTTGCAAGTGCTGTGCCCCGAGACCCACAGCCTCAGCCTCTGGATGTGGTTTCTTTCACCTTTTCTGCAGGGACATCCAAGGGGTTAAAGAAAAAGGCAAATCAACCTTTAGCCTCACACAACCAACGTGTTAGTGTGCATCACCAGTGCTGTCACAGATTCTGTATTACAAAAGCTGTGAAGGATTCAGAAGTTAAATTTAGTCTTTAGGATATTTGTGTTAAAGCTTGTTTAATTCAATTAAGCAAGAGTATTATAAGCAGAATAATAGCAAAGCATTTGCCTATTGACTTCTGGCATCACATAACACAGTTTTCTCCAAGCCTTAGAATAATTTTCTTAAGGTTTTAATAAGATTACTGCCTAAACAATACTGTAAGGTGATTTAGTGGATGTTGTTGAAGGTTACTGGTTTTGGAAAGTTGGGGGTTTTTTAGGCTTCTGTCTTTTGCATTGTGTAATAGAAATTGCACTTTTCCTTTTAGCAGTATAAATTACAGATTTAAGAAAGTAGCAGTGCTGAAATCCTGATTTTGATTAACTCAGGCCTTGAGGGAGAGTTTAGATTCTGTAAAAATAAATAAATAATAGTACTAAAGGAAACAAACAAACAAAAAGAAATGAAACATCATCTCCAGTAAAATTAATGTTTCTTCAGTAAATTGACAGATTAGAGAAAGGAAATTGTGCACTTGTTTGAAAAAAAAAGCTGAAAAACTGAATAGAAGTGCTAATTAATAGTCAGATGTCAGATGACAGGATTTCTTGAATGCGGAACACAGGCTTTTAAGAGCATTAAATCTACATCTGAACATTATGTGTAACATCTGAAAAGAGGCTTCTGAGGAGCTGTTTTTGCAACTAGTTTTAAATTGAATTGATCGTACTACTCGCAAGTTTCTTCTGAGGAATTGGTTTTCCCTTCTTACACCATATAGCCGGTTTGAGTCAAAATCAAACCCTGCTCCTTCTCACACTTTTAATTTGTTCCAGTTTTCAATCCACGGAAATCAAAGAACTAATGAGTAGAGTCTTCAGAAGGGGGTTGTTCTCCATTAGCAATGATAGATTTTTCTTTTTTCCCCATTCTTTCCATTGACAGGTTGAATAAGGAGGATTAACATTAGCTGGAGGCACTGTTTTGTTTTTTTTTTATATATGTATATGTGTATATATATGTATATATAGGTATATATGCACAACTTATATGGATGGCTCTTTAAGGTGTATATGGAGAAGTCTTATAGACCATGTTAACCATCTATCGATCTAAAGCTGTGAGGATTTTGTTCAGAACACAGCAATTCCCTTCTGTGATTTAAACACAGAACATGTTTGATAACTCTGAGTCTGTTTCCTGGTTTACAGAGTTTTCCTGGTTCAACTGGTGCCTGCCTGGATCATGTCTGCTCAGCCTGCTCCTCATCCTGTGCTTCCGTGAGTCCTACGACAGACTCTATCTCGATGTCGTCGTCTCTGTGTGATAAGAGGGTTGGAAGAGACTGGAAGTTAACTTTGCAGTCTGCCCATCTGCCTGGATTTACATGGTGGAACAGCAGAAAAACAGAGAAATTACGAGACTTAATCATGACTTTATTACAGAGGGTGAGGGACAGGCTGTTCCTGCATTCAAGACCACCTTGATTTGTGATAAACATGGAACTTTAGTGGTGATAATGATGCCAAAATGCACAAAAGAATATATCTAATGTATAGGTCCTGGTGCCAGAGCTGGGGCTCTCTATTTAAAAGGCTGTTGACGTAGCAGTGAGGTGTACAGTTTGTGTGTGTGGGTGTGCGTGTGTGTGTGCCAAGTCACAGTTACACACATCAGGGTACCAGTAATCTTTGGAGTCTTCTATCAGAATAGAAATAATGAATAATCTTAACAAAAGGGAAAAGAAAAAAGATAAAAAGCAAAAAAAACTCACCCAGTTTTGTTTTTTTAAAAGAGCTCCCTTTTAAATCACTAGTCGGTTAACTAATGAATGTTCATTAAACAGTTAAGCCAAAATGATTTGGTGCTTGTACACTACATTTATATTCTAATAAAGTGATCTCTGATATAAGACACTGGTACCAGGGGTTTTAGCCATACTAAATATCCCAAACAATCCTTGCAGTTGTTAGAGGTGTTTGTTATCACCCTGGAGCACATGTAAATGATAGCTTTAGCTGCCACTGAAACCCAACTTTCACTCACAGTTGCCTCTGGAATACCACTGTGGCTGTGTATCTCCTGAATACAAAGCATCTGTGGTGTCTCAGAAGTTTACTGGAGAGTCACTGTTGATAAAGGTTAAGGTTTTAAAGGCCACCACTGTGTCACCTTTTTATCCTGCATCTCCAGTACTGCCTTTTTTACTGTGAAGACCTGTTTGTGCCACTGAATACTGTGGAAGTGGATGTCCAAGACCCATTAGTTCTCTTCTGATACTCTAAGGCATGTGTGTTTTTTTAGGATTAGTTTATGATTGAGGTTGCCTAAACAATATTGTTTGTTAACTCAGATCTTTAAAATCACTGTTTGCTAAAAAAAAAAAGTCTTTCTAGTTGATGAGGTACCCTGATGGCGGAATGACAATGAGAAATAGCTCATGAGTTTTGGCATAATATAGGAAATATAATGCCAGCTCTTTTTATCAGTACTAATCTGTGGTCATTCTGGCCCTTACTTGAACAAAAATAGTAAAGACACTTTGAATATTTTTTTAACTCAATTTTTAAATCTGCTAATAATTTCTTAATTATATTCTTAGATTTCAGTTCAGCATCATTTACAGTATTTCCATATGTGTGTTCTGTGTTTTGTGTTAGGGGGGTGTGTTTGTGTGTGTGTGTGCGTGCATGTGCATTTATGTATGCACAAATAAAACTTATATATATATATTTTATATATAAGTTATATAAGGGTATGTGTTTACATAGGTTTATTTTAAGTAATCATGTCTCTGGATGGTGGTATGCTGCAGTTTGTAACTAAACTAGTAACTGCTGTGAACGGAAATGCATACATACACTGTCTGTGACACGACTTTTTTTCAGGGGGTGAATGATTTCCTATCATAGCAGTTTTATCACGGGGTGTGTGCACGTGTTGGAGGAGGCTGGTGTGCAGGGTTCTGCTCCTGTAGAAGTCTGACTCAAACACCCTTTGCTCCTGTGTGGGCTCTTCTCTGCCACCCTGGGGTGACACCAACCCTGGAAGCTCACTCAAATAAACCCTGAACTGAGCGCTACCTTTCAGACACAGATCCATTCATTCTGTCTGCTCTGCTGTTGCAGGGAGAATGTGCTACTAATACCTTTAACTCAGGAGTGTATCTGTGCAGTACAATAAAATGAGCTGTTCCCTCTTTTATGTTTTCAGAGCAATGGATGTATTTACTGTAGTAACAGAAAATTGACTTAGCTCGTTGCCCATATCAGCTGCTAAATGATCTTTTCTGTCTTGAAGCAAGCTCTTCATAGAAATGGATCTAACCTGCATTGGGATAACTAAATCAATCTAAGCAGCATGTTCAGATCTACTGGCGTCATCCTCTTACTGTTTTTCAGATGAATGGTATTGACAGTCCAACTTCTTTTTTACTATGTTTTAGTGCCTGAAATAGTTTCAATATCTAGTAGCTGCTGCTACTTACTGTCTTCTGAAACCAAGGATTGCTTGCCAAGTCTGGAGTTGCATTGTCATGGCAGAACTGGAAGCTTGGATGGCTCTTTAGAGCTCTGCTGCTGCAATTCACTGTAGCTATATTAAGATTAAAATTGCACAGCTCGGGCACTGTCCTGACTGACAGAGGTGTCTAAACCTTTCGCTGTTCCTGACTATTTTAAGATGGAGGAGCACTTCAGGCAATATTCAGGCTATAACCTATTTTGCCTCTGTTCCAGAAAGCATTGAACAATTCGAAATACTTGTCTGCTGCCAAATGCAGACTCTGTACAGCCACGGAAGAAGAGTGAACACCTTGTTTCAAACTGTGCTCTTTTTCTCAGTGTGAATTGCTCACTGCTGTCCTGAATTTTGATGCTTTGGTAGAAGTTTCTGTGTGTGGTGGGTTGACCTGGACTGGACACCGGGTGCCCACCAAAGCCACTCTTACCACTTTCCTTCTTAACAGGACAGAGGAAAGATATTATAACGAAAGCCTCATGCATCGATATAGGGACATGGAGAAATCACTCACCATTTACTGTCAAAGTAAAACAGACTCAACTTGAGGAAATCAAATCAGAGTAGGATCATGAGAAATGAAACCAAATCTTTAAACACCTTCCCACTCCTCCCTTCTTCCTGAGCCTAACTTTACTCCCAGTTTTTCTACCTCCTCCCTGCCAGCAGCGCAGGGGCATGGAAAATGGGGTTATGGTCAGTTCATCACATGTTGTTTCTGCTTCTCCTTCCTCCTTAGGGGATTACTACTCACACTCTTCTCCTGCTCCAGTGTGGAGTCTTCCCGCATGGAAGTTCTCTTCCATGAACTTCTCCAACGTGAGTCCTTCTCACGGTCTGCAGTTCTTTATGAACTGCTCCAGCATGGGTCATTTCCATGGGGTGCAGTCCTTCAGGGACAGACTGCTCCAGTGTGGGTCCCCTGCGAGTCACAAGTCCTGCAGCAAACCTTCCCCCAGTGTGGACTCCTCTCTCCATGGGCCACAGGTCCTGCCAGGAGCCTGCTCCAGCATTGGCTTCCCATAGGGTCACAGCCTCCTTGGTCACAGTCTGTCTTGGATCCAGCTGGCATTGGCTCTGTTGGACAAGGGGGAAGCCTCTGGCAGCTGCTCATAGAAGCCACCCTTGTAGCTCCCCCACTACCAGAACTTTGCCACACAAAACCAATATACTGTATTGGGCACTGTAGTGTGTAGTCCTAGTTATAGTCCTCCATGCGTCTGCACCAAAATGGAGATGTTATCCAGAGCTGGGCAGTGCAGCAGGGCTCTGCTGGAGACCTGCGCTTAGTTTTCAGTCAGGGCTCAACCAGAGGTTGCAGTATGTCTGAGGGAAACCCAAAGGATTGCTCCCAAATCAGTTGAAGTTGTGCAGGACACTGCTGCATTCCGTACACAGTGTTCAGGCCTAAGGATTTTATTAGATTAGCAAGTCTGGCTCAGGGCAGAGGTGAGGATTGCGAATGTGCTTACTGAGATCTCTGAAAAACATTTTATCCCCATCTGTGCCCAGCAGCAGCATCCTTCTGTGGAGGAGCATTCTATTCCATGTCACTAACTCAACCCGTGGGAGTATTTTTTGGATAAGGGCTACCAGTAGGTCTCCCCTTGTTTGGATTTACCGAGGGTCCAAGCTATAAGGATAACTGCACTTTACTGGAAATCAGTTTGAGACTGCAGGGAGAGCCCTAAGCAGTGCTGGTACAATTGACTGTAGTGCAGAATAGGTGCAGAACAGTATTTCTCATTAATTAGTGAAAATCCTAAGTCTCTGTAACTTCTGAGTCAGTAACCACAGGGGTTTTTATCTAAATGAGGTATTACCTTGCACTGCTGTGGAGTAGCTGACACTGGCTGATGCTTGTGCTGTGACTGCCAGCAGAGCAAGGTGCCCTGGGCAGTCACAATATTTGTTTCTCTTCATGGCCTGTAAGTTCACGGCCCTGAAGAACACTTTTTTTCCAGCAGAGCAGAGCCCTCTAACATCTAAGTAGTTGTGCTATACTTTATGTTGATAATGCTAGGAAGGATGCTCTGCAGTGACTGCTCTCTCTTAATGGTTCTTCATTTTCAGTATGGGCTGCTCTTCAGGTTTCTGCTTGGCTCGGTAACAACTCTTAGTTCAGCTTCCAGTGCTGCTGGGTTTTCTTCTTGAGAGCTGTGGAGCTGTGCAAGCTTTCATGCTGCTAATGAGGAAGCTCAGGGTTAGTAGATGTAGGCTCCGCTTAGGGCACTGTTTACTGTCTCATCCCTGCTGTTACCCATTAATTTCCTTTCGATTCCTTCACCCACCCGCAGGGCCACCTGCTTCCCTGAGCTGGAGGAATGGAGCAGTGCTGCTGCACTCCCAAGTCAGCTTTAGAGGGATGGATTGGCCAATTGTGTACTTGATATACATAAAGATAGTGATGTTTAGAGAATCATGCAAGCTGGAAAAAGTGCAGACCCAAAGGATTTTGCACATATGTAAACAGATAGTCTGTTATGAGCAGACTGTAGTTTGCCTGAAGCTTGTAATTTTAGCTCCCATACCTAGAGATACCAAGCTGACAGGCACCAGGTATGTTAGGTACTCAGGTTCACGGGATCATGGAGTTACTCCCAGCTATCTGGCAAAGCTGAAGTGGGTGGGAATGGTTCAACTTTAATCTTGGAGAAGGCTGGAATACCCCAGGCTGCATCAGTGTTTGTGCTGGTTATTCAGGGGTTTGCCAGGCTTGTGGATTGAGTAAGGGGAGAAGGTTGCCAGAGGGCATTTCAACACTGAAATACTGCATTGAATTGATCAAATCCGTATAAAATTTGAACAGGGATGTTAATGCCTCGCTTGTTCTATAGTAAACTTGGTGACTGCATAGCCATACGCTGCAATATAAAGAGGCAGAATTGATTAATATGTGTATATTGGCTGTTCCTAGAAAGGGAAGTGATATCTAATTATGTGGATTGACTGAGGTATGAATGGGAATTGCACAGTGGATATAACTGTCCTTTGATGCTATGGCAGCAGGGTTCTAATTGTTCATCTTCATTTCTTCCATTGGGTCACTTGCAAATATGAAAGAGTATCCATAACAAAAGCACATTTATATTCGTTAGTTTGGGGAGTTGTCCTTTAGATTAGGTATGTGTCATTGTCATAACTTAGCAAGACAACTGCTACAGTGGTATGAAAGCATACATGAATATTGGGCGTTAATTTGGTATTTAATGTTGGCGTGTCCATTCTCAGTGTTGTTGAAGCACCAGGCTTGAGGAGCAGGGATGTGGTGTGTGTGAGGAGGCAGCAGTGCTTATGGATACACAGTCGTGCAAGGGTAGATGCTGACCCTCCCAAAACAAACAGGAACTTAATCATCTTCTGTGGGTCCCCTCATTGGGGCTGGGAGGAGGAGAACAGCATGTGTAGAGGAAAAGCTGCCTTGGGGCTGCTGCCTCCCTTCCAACAGAGGGAGAGCCTCCAGGCTTACATATGAGAGATTATCCGTGTCAACACAGGCTTCATTCATTTCCCTGCAGCCATTGTGCTGCAAGGCAGGTTGTAGGTGGCAGAGGAAGCCTTGCTTCCTCCAGGAGTGCAATTTCAGGCAGCAGAGGAGCGTTGCCACAGAAGATGATGTTAATCTGCTTATATTTTTTGCAGTTTGTGTTTCAAGACAAGTGAAACTAATAAATAGAGGAAGAAATGTAATTGTCCAAGGTTTTGACAAGCAAAAGCACGTATTTGTGCAGTTGTGCTGGCTCCTGCCTTTTACTTGGGATTGCAGAGTGTTGGGAGCAATTCATGCCCTCATGGAGTGTGGGCCCACTCTTGCAGCCCTGTCATTCATCCTGCTGCTGCTCAGCTGCAGCAGTGCTGCGGGAAGCTTTGTGCCTGGACTGGGGCGGGGGGGCAGCGATTGGGGCAGAGGGGGAGAAGGGAAGCGCTGCATCCAGGATGCCCAGCAGTGTGACCCTGGTAGGTTACTTGTGCAGGAGGGATGTCTTCTGCAACCTCAGTTAAGCAGTCTCATTTTCTAGTTCCTCAAGGATGAGGTTCTGACCTTCATTTTGTGTTTGTGACATGATTTGTGCCGCAGGAACACCTGGGGCACATGGCTTAGAGGCGCCAGTTTTCCAAGGTGCGGCAGAGAAGGCAGGTAGGACTTGCTGTCTGCAATAACAGCTTTTCCTTTTTCACGGTCTCTCTCCTCACTGGCTCCCCGCATGTGATTTCTCTGCTTTTACATCTTGTCAGACTCGTTGCACTTGCTTTGTGTTATTACATGAGGAAAATACCGTGAGCAAAACCTTGCTTTCTTTATGGGGAGCTTATCTCTTTTGGCTCAGGCCGCTTCTCTGACCTTAGCCCATCTGTTTGTAAAAGCCAAAACTACCCCAACCCCATGTTTTCCTGGGTATGTGCAGGTTTGTGCGGTGCTGGAATGAGTAGCGAGAGCCCAGGTGATGTGCTTGCTCAGTCACAGAATGACTCAGAGGCTTGAGGAAGAGATGCTCATGCATAGGGTGCCTCGCTCTCCCCACCTGTAAAAGGGGAGAGGGTGCCTCATGTCCCTCCTCAGGCAGGGGAGGTCAGGGCTGGGAAGTGCTGTGGAATCCTGTGAGGAATGGTAGCTGGAGCAGGGGGTGGGGAATGCCCTGGTTAATGGGCTGCATGTCCTCATCCTTTTGAGCCTTCTGT